CAGGCCTTCATATTCGAGTAGTGGAATCTGAGATGTTATCTGGCGTGGTTAAGATTGTTCGACGACTACTGGTGTTTTATCGATTTTCCATACACCGCGGTTAATGTTTTTGATGAACCTGTGCCCCTGAACGGAGGACGGATAGGCATTGAGTATCCCCGACGGTGTGATATAACTGAGCCCGATCTCGTCGATGGTTTGCGTATCACCTCGACCGTCGAGTTACTAGCATGACGCATCAACACGCACCCACGGGTTCGAAGTATGAGGATGATGATAACGAGAGTGGTTTGAGAGAGAGAGGGGGGGGGGGAGGGAGATATAAATTATCTTTATTTTAAAAGCATCGTAACATCATCCAGAATTTCATCAGCAAATTGTTTGATCGTTGTGAAATTTCGTTGTATTAAGATATGAGCTAAAAGGACATAAGATACACGAGAGCAAAATAGAGCAATCGGTGGATGCCTTCTAAAGTGAGCATAAATGTTTTAAGCAAAGCACGAAAAACAACCGGAGAATAATAACGAATGAGGTGAAAGTGTGCAGGTGTCTCTAAATCTCCAGTTGAGGGATTGAGGTGTGTGATAGAAGCGTGGACGACGAATGTCGTAAAGGAGTTCACGAATGTTAATGAAAATGGTTTCAGTATAAAGGGAGAATGGTAGATTTGGGGGCAGAGTAACACAAAAGTACCGGAAAGAGGATCCCTCGTTGTAAAGAATGTTGAAGGATTTAGGAATGGAAGGCGTTCGCAGTCAGAACACACAATGAACTGATTTTTGATTGTTAAGCAGTAGATCATTTTACAACGACCGCATAGAGACATCTTCCAAGTCATCCTTCAGAAATTGGAGATGTCTATGACTTTAAATAGGGTGACCAACAATCATATTGTCAGAATACTTAAAACAATAGCAGTCATTCGGCCACCTAAGGTCTTCAATGTGAAATGGGAAGAGGCGAATAGACTAGATGAAACCCTGAAGGACTCCGTAGTTACTAGGAAGAATAGTGTATTTCCGTTTGAAAGTCCGAACAAATAGGTGGTGGTGGTGGTGGTGGTGGTGGTGGTGGTGGTGGTGGTGGTGGTGGTGGTGGTGGTGGTGGTGGTGGCAATATTAGTTGTTGCTGCTGTTAAGGTGATGGTACTAAGAGTGGTAGTGTGAGGTATTATGAAAGTAATGAGTGCTCATCGCAGTCCGTTTCCGCCAGTTCCATAATAGGAACCTTTACCACACATCAGACCGAAACACGATTGGCAAGCAAGAGTTCTAAATGAACCGTCTCAGAAACAAATTTTCAAGGTGTTAACAGAGTAATTTAATGCTTCGAAGAAGCCCATTCCTCGCTGATGATCACCGATGAGCAAATCAGAAGGCAAACACCTGTGACTTAAGATGCTGTTAGCCCACAGACTACGAACCCTCCGCCCCAAGCAGTCAAACGTGACTCCTGTAGGAAAGCCTGTTGTTGAACATTTTGCGTGGGATTCTGGAGCAATGAAGAATCAACCTTCGAGAGTAAGAGCCCATTATGCACGTTCAGTACAGTAAGTTTCCTAAGCGTCGAGAAGAAACTTCCCAACAATTTTTTTGCGTAGAACAGCCGCTAACAAAAGAAGGACATCCTGTCTTTCGTCCGGAGATTGCAGTTGGTGAGTTCGGCTTGCTTTTTTTTGAAGTGGAGAATATCGCGGCCTCATTTCTTGACTAGGTTAACAATGTTGAGATTTGTCGTGTACGAAAAGAAAACTTTTACACCCTGCGGGAGCTCTCTTCTGACTTGCAACAGCGGACGGTACGCTAGTTTGGTCATGCAACACACATAGGTTGATTACTCGGTGGAGTGGGTAAACACGAGAATGGAAGACGAACGGAAACCGCCACGTCAAAGCCATCAGAGTGTGTTAGAAAAGTAGGGAACCGTCTTGGCATTGTAGTAACTGCAATAGGCCTATGGATTACCGTGAATGCAAACAGGCAGTTACTAGTCAATCTGTGGGAAGAACGAGATATGGCAGTAGGCGAATACGCTAGGATTCAAAAGCAACTTAACGATAAAAGCCCGAGCTGATATAGCTGCATGTGCAACGTACTCTGCTTGAGGATTGTACTATATAACAAAATATATGTAAAAAATGGGCCACGTGCCTCGGAACAATTACTAACTACGTCGTTGTACA